ATCACTAAGACGAACAATGTTCAACAACCAGATCAACGAGGAAGCCCTAAACGTGGAACTCGACCTAGTGGAAGAAGCACGCGACCAAGCCCTCATCATGATGGAAGCTTGTCGAGCCAGGTTGTCCAGAAAACACCGGACCAAGGTCAAGCCTCGCGAATTTCAAACCGGCGACTTAGTCTGGCGAGTCACAGGAGAAGCGCGAAAAGACAAGGCTCAGGGGAAGCTGGCACCGAATTGGGACGGCCCCTACCGCATAATGCACAACTTGCAGAATGGAGCATACAAGTTAGAAGAACTCTCAGGAAAATCCATTCCACGAACATGGAATGCAACGCACTTGAAGCATTATTTTAGTTAGAATATAATGTATTTGTTTCGGTGTACTCTTTTCCTTGTCCCAGGTTTTCTCCTCTTAAAAGAATGTGAAAAGAGGTTTTCCTGAGAAAAGGTTTTTAATGAGGCACCATATCAATGAAACAAGCCCCTTATTTTTCAGACATCTTTACTCAATTTAATCTCAAACCTTCAGTCTCCCTCCCGAGATTTCTCTCGGCCAAGGTTGAGCATAGCCTCCCTCCCGAGATTCATCTCGGCCAAGGTCGAGCATAACCTCCCTCCCGAGATTCCTCTCGGCCAAGGTTGAGCATAGTCTCCCTCCCGAGATTCATCTCGGCCAAGGTCGAGCATAACCTCCCTCCCGAGATTCCTCTCGGCCAAGGTTGAGCATAGTCTCCCTCCCGAGATTCATCTCGGCCAAGGTCGAGCATAACCTCCCTCCCGAGATTCCTCTCGGCCAAGGTTGAGCATAGCCTCCCTCCCGAGATTCATCTCGGCCAAGGTCGAGCATAACCTCCCTCCCGAGATTCCTCTCGGCCAAGGTTGAGCATAGTCTCCCTCCCGAGATTCATCTCGGCCAAGGTCGAGCATAACCTCCCTCCCGAGATTCCTCTCGGCCAAGGTTGAGCATAGTCTCCCTCCCGAGATTCATCTCGGCCAAAGTCGAGCATAACCTCCCTCCCGAGATTTCTCTCGGCCAAGGTTGAGCATAATCTCCCTCCCGAGATCTCTCTCGGCCAAGGTTGAATATAATGTTTGCTTCCCGAGATTCCTCTCGGCCAAAGTTGAACGACAAGTCTCCCTCCCGAGAACCCTCTCGGCCAAGGTAGAGCGTAGCCTCCTTCCCGAAGATCGCTCGGTCGAAATGGAACAACTTGCATTGAAGTTCCCTCTACCTGGGATCCCAATGGCCGAAGCCTTTTCTCCCGAGATACACTAACAACCAAAGTTTAATTAGTGAGTTCTTGACCGACTAACCCACGACAGAAATTCACTTACATGACCTAAGACATTCCCGGTCATCCCTCTCGGCCAAAAAAGAAAAACGTCTTAGACGATCCTAAGACCTACAAACAAGAGAAGCTGCATACAAAGGTGCGCAACAGAAAGTAAAACAGTCCGAATAGGGGGCATAACAATTCATTAAGACTCAAGGTCAACGCGGCACTATCGGCCGAAGGGTACAAGCAAGGATGGCTCTAACGGCCCAAAAGGAATCAAGCAAAAAATAATATACCCTAAATTTGTACATCTTAAACAAAACAGATGCATCCTCAAAAAACAAAAAGTCGCGCCATCCCTCAATCGGCATTGCCGGTCTGCTCGGTCTCTTCGTCGTCATCGTTGAAGGTGGTGCCGGGGTCTTCAGGGGCCGCTAAGCGAGGAGGAGCGGCTTGATCAGGTTCGGCATCGGGGTCGGCTTCAGCATAGTCCATGTACACCCCCTGGAAAAAGTCCTTGCTAAGCGCGAAGGAGAACTCGGGAGGAAAAGTGCCGAAATGATTGGCTTGCCTAACGGCATGCCAAAATCCTTCCTCGTGCTCCTTCACAATCTTGCTTTCGCATTCAGCCCGGAAGGTTGCCATCGCCGCGTCACCTTCGGCCTTCGCCCTTTCCACTTCAGCCTGGAGATCCTTCACCTCCTCAACCCGCATCCGCTCGGCATCTTCCGCCGCCTGAACTCGACCTTCCATCCCTTCATAGGCCTCCTTCCAGTGGGCCACCTCGGCCTCCAACGCCGCTTTCTCCCCAGCTAAAGCCTCTTGCACCGAGAGGGATTGTTGCAGAGCTGATTTAGTGTCCTCCAGGCTCTTCTGGAGATTATGCATGTCCCCCATCGGTTCCAAGGCCATCTTCCGAAATATGGCAGTGGCCCTCATGTGCAGCTCACATGCCATCGCCCATCGAGCCGAAGGAGTGGCCGCATCGAGCATAACATGCCCTTGGGCCGATAACAGATCAGAAGACATCATTCGGGCCGGCCTGATCTCCTCCGATAAAAAGTCCTTGGCGACGATGGCCGAAGGTACGGCCAAATCCGTCGAAGAACCCTCCACTCTTCGTTGCTTGGGCCGAGAGGTTTCCATACCCTCAGCATCGGCCCTCCTTTTCCCCTTGTCTTTTCTCTTCCTGACCTTAGGATCGGGAAGGGCAATAACAGGTGGCGTGGGCCGAGCAGCATCCGTGTTTTGAGGTTGCCGATCAATGGCAACGCTTCGATGATCTTCGGCGGAAGTCCCGGCAGGGGCTTTGCTCCTCATCAATTGCCGGTACGACAGTCCCAATCCTTGTTGCGCCATCCAGCCTGCAAAAATCAAACAGTCACACATCAACCTAACAAGAACGACCAATCAGAAATATAAAAACATACCCTCTAAATCAAAACGAGGCCGAGACGACTTGGGCAGCAGCACTAAAAACCGAGAGGGGATACACTTCGGCAGTCCTTTCAGGATATCTAAAGCCGACAACTCGGCTTCGGTCATCATGTCCTCCGGAAAATCATCGTATTTCCGAGGCTGCCGAGTCCAATAAAAAGGGAAAAGGGGTTTCTGCTCGGCATCATAAAAGTAATTTCGGCCGGTAACGGGGTCAATAATCACCTTCACAAACCCCGACTTGAACCCCTTGAAAGACGACGTGAAGGGTGTTAGCAACGGTCGGTCGGCGTTCCGAACCAAAGAAAGCCACTTAACAGTCTTATTCGAAGGACGAGTACAGAAAAAATGTAAAAATAAACCTACGGACGGCTCTATGTAGTGGTATTTACAAAGCACCCGGAACGCTTGCATATAAGCCCATGCGTTCGGGTGCAACTGCGTCGGGGCCACATTCAACACACGAAGGACCCCCATCTGAAAATCGTCGAAGGGGAGCGACATCCCGAGCTCTCGGAAGAAACACTCGTACATGTAGAAAAAATCTCCGGTTCCTTCCCGCTTCGCAAGAAAAACCAGATCAAGCTCCCCAGGGCCTTCGGCCCGGCATCGACGCAGCAGAATAGGATAAGGATCCCAACCTTCCCATCGGCCTAACGTGCAACGACCGAGAAGACGTATCACGGCAGCCCTCTCATGAAAACGAGAGAAGTACGCCGCCACCTCACCATCGACCCAATCATACCCAGGGATTTCACACGGAGGGAACTTCTGCCTATAATCCCCGGGGCTCATCTCGGCGTCAGGCAAATCCGACCCGGATGAAGAACTAGACCCACCATCACGCTCAGGACCCGACCCGGCATGACCCACAATCATATCCACCTCGGCGTTAAAGGCCAACATCTCGGCCTCGACATCTTGCGCCGACACCCTATCACTAGCCGACGACCCTGACGATAATGTCACACCTTCGGTGGCCATTATCAAAAAAAAAAATCTAAAAACACAAAAAACGAACCTTTAGGAGTACTCGGCTCACACGAAAAGATATTGAGGAAGTATAACTACAAACAAGGCATGAGGAAGTGAGTCCCACCCCCATACCTTATATAGACCACGCGAAGCAACCCAAGGGGCTCGTAATAAATGCGCCTGAACGCGAAGAGACATAACGCAAGGGCGCGAAACCCAAAGACGGCTCTGGCATGCAACGGTCACTATCCACACACCTCCCGAAGCACACGTCTCCCCAAAATCAAAACCCTGAAATAACCCGGAACCATTTAACCACATCAAACCCCTACGTCTTTTATCCTGGGGCTTGGGGGGGTAGTGTACTAGGAGGCACCCCTTCGGTCAGGCAATAGGCCGAAAGGGGTGCCCGAGCCGACGAAAACACACCACCCCTTCAGCTGGAGGACGGGCCGAACACACCTTCTCGGCCAAAGGAGGTACCCCATGACTCCTTTACCACTAGAACACCCATCAAAACCTCCCGGTATTGAGCTGGGCCGAACACCTCCTCGGCCTTGACATGAGCCGAACACCTCTTCGGCCTTGGAGAAGACCGAACACCCTTTCGGCCTCATACCTAGCCAAGGACTTCAACAAATCAAACAAACACTGCCATCAAGGACGAGTCAAACACCTCCTCGGCCTTGACCTAGGCCGAACACCTCCTCGGTCTTGACCTAGGCCGAACACCTCCTCGGTCTTGACCTAGGCCGAACACCTCCTCGGTCTTGACCTAGGCCGAACACCTCCTCGGCATTGACCTAGGCCGAACACCTTCTCGGCATTGACCTAGGCCGAACACCCTTTCGGCCTCGGGGGAGGCCGAACACCCTTTCGGCCTCACGCCTAGCCGAGGACTTCGACAAAGAGCAGATCACAAACAACACGTGGCAAGTTAGATACTTATTATGCGCTAATTACCATGCCAGATTAAGAGGAGATTAAGGCTAACTCAAGTGTTACCCATCTCCCAAGACTGAAGGCCCACCAGGCCCAATTGTGTCACTATAAATACACAGGTGATGTGATATGAAAAGGTACGTTATTGTCCAATATAAAAGCACTTATTGCTCTATACCGAATACTCACTTGAGCGTTGGAGTGCCTTTGCAGGTACCCTCCCCACCCCGCGGAGATAGTATTCGGTCGGCACCGAAGACTTAGAAGATCAAGAAGGAAGAACGACAAGAGGAGTGTTTCTACGCAGGAACATTTTGGCGCCCACCGTGGGGCCGAAACCATAACGGTTCTCGACCCTAAAGCAAGATGGTAACCACAAGAAGTCAACAGGAAAACGCGACCGATTATCCCTTCGGGATGCCCCGAGGCACCCCCGGACAGCAAACCAATCAGAACGACGGAATGGAGGAATCATACGTGGATCGGTCTCAACAGCCTAACCCCTCATCGGCACTCGAACAACTGAAGGCCGAAATGATGGAACTCAGGAGGCTTCGAGAAAAGGACGCTCACGAATTATCGGCCCTGAGAAGAGAAAACGCTGAGCTCAGGAGCGATAATAGGACATGGCACCCCTCGCACGACGTACAGAATCAATCAACCCGGGATCAGGGCGAATCCTCAGGATGGTACAAGGAAGTTAACATCCCTCGACCATCGGGCATACCGACTACCGCAACGCAAGATCAACAACGACGGCAGGGAAGAACGCCGTTCACACCAGACGTTGCCGGGGCTCGTTTGCCCGATAACTGGAAAAACTTGACCGTGGAAAAGTACGATGGAACCTCCGACCCCGAAGAACACCTTGACGCGTTCGTCACACAGGTCGGCCTGTACACCGACGACGATGCAATCATGTGTAAAGTCTTCCCTACTTCGTTGAAAGGACCAGCGCTTAATTGGTTCACACGACTCCCTCCCGGATCAATTGATTCGTTCACATCCCTGTCCTCTCGTTTCGTAATACAGTTTGCCACGAGTCGGCCTCATCAGCTGACATCCATTGCGTTGGTCAGTATACGCCAAGAGAAGAAAGAGCCATTGAGGGCTTTCATGGAGAGGTTCGGGAAAATGACGTTGTCTATTCGGAATTTGGATCCGGCCGTAGCAATGCATCACCTCACCACAGCACTGCGGCCCGGGCCTTTTGTCAATAGCTTGTGCAAAAAGCCCCCCCATGACTTGGACGACCTACGGCAAAGGGCCACCAAATATATGCAGATGGAGGAACTGGCCGAGTTCCGCAACCAGAACCGATCTGACCTGTTTCTCGGCAAAAGAGAGAATGACAAGGAGCCTCCTAAGTCTCGTCCCCGGGAAGTCAATGATCGTGAGAAGAATAACAACAGAGGTCCGAGGTATGTGCAGTATACGCCGCTCAACGCAAGCAGGGCCAAAGTGTTGGAGCAAGCTCTAGCCAAAGAAGTTCTGGCCGTTCCTCGAAGAGCTTTGACCCCACCTCACGCCGACAAGACAAAAGCATGTCAATTCCATCGGAATAGAGGACATACCACCGAGGAGTGCTCCGCCCTTCGAGACCGTATCGAAGATCTCGTTAAGGCCGGTCACCTCCAAAACTTCATTCGGATAACGGATAACAGAAGAAACGACTACCACCACGAAAGAGGGGAACCTAGGGGAGACAACCGAGGTCGAGCACCCCCCCGGAACCGATCTCGCGAGCGTAGCAGGTCTCAAGAAGGAAACGACCAACGAAACCGCAATCAGCCCAGACGAGTCATAAACACCATTGCTGGAGGTTTCGCAGGGGGGAGCTCATCTTCAGCCCGGAAGAGACACCTGAGGGCCGTCAAGTCGGTAAACGCTATAGGACGAACGCTTCCCGTTCGTATGCCCCCTATAACGTTCACTGACCGAGACTTCCACGGCATTGATCCGGTGCAAGACGACCCAATGGTCATCACCGTAGAAATCAACAATTGCCTCGTAAAAAAGACTCTGGTAGACCAGGGAAGTTCGGCCGATATATTATACTGGAAGACGTTTGAACAATTGGGGATTCCAGAACAAGAGCTCACGCCTTATAACGAGCCTTTGGTAGGGTTTTCGGGCGAGAGGGTGGACACTCGGGGAACCATAGACCTATACACCTACTTCGGAGAAGACCAGCGTAGGCGGATCAAGGTGCGTTACGTGGTGGTGCAGGCCAACACATCGTACAACATTCTTTTGGGCAGACCCTCTCTGAACAAACTCCGAGCCATCGTATCCACCCCTCACTTAACCATGAAATTCCCGTCGGAGGAAGGGACCGTCATTGCTGTACATGCGGATCAGAAGACAGCGCGCGAATGTTACTTCGCCAGCTTAAAAGTAGAACCAATGTCGAAGTCAAGACGAGACGTGAATGTTATCGGCGACGTCGGCAAACAAAAATTATCAGGCTTGGAACTTGATCCGAGGTTAGAAGAGGAAGATAGGGTTGAACCTATTGAGACAACAGTCCCCTTCCAACTCGGAAAGATTGAAGGACAGGTTACCTTTTTAAGTTCTCAATTATCCGAAACAGAAGCTGAAGATATCAAACAAGTCCTGAAGAAGTATTCAGATCTATTTGCTTGGACGGCAGCGGATATGCCGGGCATTGATCCAAATTTTCATTGCCATCGTCTCTCGGTATGCCGAGACGCCAAGCCCGTCGCCCAAAAGAAAAGAAAAATGGGCGGGGAGAGAGCCCAGGCGATAAAGGACGAGACCGCCAAATTACTCCAGGCAAGATTCATAAGAGAAGTCAAGTATTCCACTTGGTTGGCCAACGTAGTGATGGTCAAAAAGGCCAATGGAAAATGGCGAATGTGTACAGACTACACCGATCTGAACAAGGCGTGCCCCAAAGACGCCTATCCTCTGCCTCACATTGATGCATTGGTGGACGGCGCAGCTGGCCATCACAGATTAAGTTTCCTGGATGCTTACTCGGGGTACAATCAAATACCCATGTACTCACCAGACGAAGAAAAAACGGCATTTATCACCGATTCGGCAAACTTCTGCTACAAGGTAATGCCCTTCGGTCTGAGAAACGCCGGTGCTACTTACCAGAGACTCATGGACAAAATCTTCCGCCACCAGATAGGGACATGTCTGGAAGTGTACGTGGATGACATGGTCATCAAATCCACTTCAGCTGTTGATCATTTGAAAGATCTGAGCACGATCTTTGAAGAAGTAAGGCGGCACCGTATGCGATTAAACCCGGCAAAGTGCACCTTCGGGGTGGCCGGGGGAAAATTCTTAGGATTCATGTTGTCCAAAAGGGGAATAGAAGCCAACCCCGATAAATGTCAGGCGATTATCAACATGCAAAGTCCCCGCAACATAAAAGAAGTACAGCGCCTAGCCGGACGCATAGCCTCTTTGGCTCGCTTTCTCCCCTGCATGGCCGAGAAGTCAAGGCCTATAATGTCCCTATTGAAAAAAGCTACCAAGTTTTCATGGAACCAGGAATGCGAGACAGCTTTTCAAAACTTCAAGACAACGCTCATGGCTCCGCCGCTGTTGAGCAAGTCGGACCCTAGCTTGGACATGATAATCTACATATCAGTATCAGACAAAGCTATCAGCACAGTGTTGGTGCAGGAAAAGACCGAGCAAATGCCTGTGTACTTTATCAGCCGAGTCCTGCAAGACGCCGAGACGAGGTACCAACATCTCGAGAAAACGGTCTTGGCCCTCGTACATACTGCCAGGCGCCTTCGACATTATTTTCAGAGCCATCGGGTGCTTATTCGAACGGATAGTCCGGTAACTAAGGTCCTGCGAAGGCCAGAGTTGGCAGGACGAATGGTCGCTTGGTCTATAGAATTGTCCCAGTTTGATATTCGCTTTGAGCCTAGGGGACCCATCAAGGCACAAAGCTTGGCAGATTTCGTGAACGAGTTCACACCCCAAGAAATCCTCGACTCTCACCTGTGGACCCTGCATGTAGATGGGTCATCTAACCATCAAGGCAGTGGTGCCGGCATTATTTTAGAGGGGCCTGGTCAAGTGGTGATTGAACAGTCCCTACGTTTCGGTTTCAAGGCATCGAATAATCAAGCCGAGTACGAGGCTCTTCTGGCAGGCCTACGGTTGGCAAAGGACTTAGGCATCCCTAAAGTGCAGTGTTGGAGCGACTCGAAAGTGGTAACAGAGCAGGTAAACGGTACTTTTCAAATCAAGGAACCAACGCTTTTATTATACTTTCACGCGTTCAATAAGCTGAAAGCAGATTTTGAAAATGTCCAAGTCAAACACACGCCTCGAGAACTCAACATGAGAGCCGATCAGTTGGCCAGGCTGGCTAGCAGCAAGAAGGTTAGCCATTTGCGCAGCATGATACAGCAAGAATTGCCTAAACCGAGTATCACACAGGCCGAGTGTCTACAAATTCAGAAGGAAACGCCCAATTGGATGACGGGGATAATAGAATACCTAACAGCTGGGTCGCTACCCATCGACCCATTGGAAGCAAAGAAGATGAAAGTCGTGGCCGCCCGATACACCCTAATCGCTGGAGAATTGTACAAAAGGGGGTTCTCGTCACCTTTGTTGAAATGCTTGGCACCGGATCAAGCACACTATGTAATTCGAGAGATCCATGAAGGCGTATGCGGAACCCATTCGGGAAGCCGAACCCTAGCAGCCAAAGTCGTCAGGGCGGGATATTATTGGCCCACTCTAATGGCAGATTGCTCAAAGTATGTTCAACAATGCAAGCCCTGCCAGCAGCACGGACCATTGACACATCAACCACCCGAAGAGTTACACTCCATCACCACCCCCTGGCCATTTTCTATTTGGGGCATGGACATTTTGGGACCTTTCCCACCAGCGAAAGGCCAAGTCAAATTTCTCCTTGTGGCCGTCGACCACTTCACCAAATGGATTGAGGCGGAACCAGTGGCTACCATCACGGCCAACAACGTCCAAAAATTCTTTTGGAAGAATGTCATTACTCGGTTCGGAATCCCATATGCTTTGATCACGGATAATGGTTTGCAATTCACCGACCGCCGTTTCAACGAGTTTTTAGCAGAGCTGGGTATCAAGCACAAAATGACCTCGGTAGAGCACCCCCAATCAAATGGGCAGGCCGAAGCGGCAAACAAAGTTATCCTCAAAGAACTAAAACGGCGCCTCGGACAAGCTAAGGGGGCATGGCCCGAGCATTTACCAGAAATCTTGTGGGCTTACCGTTGCACTCCGCAAAGCTCGACTCGGGAGACACCCTTTCGGCTTACTTACGGTACAGATGCCATGATCCCGGTAGAGGTAGGAGAACCATCACTAAGACGAACAATGTTCAACAACCAGATCAACGAGGAAGCCCTAAACGTGGAACTCGACCTAGTGGAAGAAGCACGCGACCAAGCCCTCATCATGATGGAAGCTTGTCGAGCCAGGTTGTCCAGAAAACACCGGACCAAGGTCAAGCCTCGCGAATTTCAAACCGGCGACTTAGTCTGGCGAGTCACAGGAGAAGCGCGAAAAGACAAGGCTCAGGGGAAGCTGGCACCGAATTGGGACGGCCCCTACCGCATAATGCACAACTTGCAGAATGGAGCATACAAGTTAGAAGAACTCTCAGGAAAATCCATTCCACGAACATGGAATGCAACGCACTTGAAGCATTATTTTAGTTAGAATATAATGTATTTGTTTCGGTGTACTCTTTTCCTTGTCCCAGGTTTTCTCCTCTTAAAAGAATGTGAAAAGAGGTTTTCCTGAGAAAAGGTTTTTAATGAGGCACCATATCAATGAAACAAGCCCCTTATTTTTCAGACATCTTTACTCAATTTAATCTCAAACCTTCAACCTCCCTCCCGAGATTCATCTCGGCTAAGGTCGAGCATAACCTCCCTCCCGAGATTCCTCTCGGCCAAGGTTGAGCATAGTCTCCCTCCCGAGATTCATCTCGGCCAAGGTCGAGCATAACCTCCCTCCCGAGATTCATCTCGGCCAAGGTCGAGCATAACCTCCCTCCCGAGATTCCTCTCGGCCAAGGTTGAGCATAGTCTCCCTCCCGAGATTCATCTCGGCCAAGGTCGAGCATAACCTCCCTCCCGAGATTCATCTCGGCCAAGGTCGAGCATAACCTCCCTCCCGAGATTCCTCTCGGCCAAGGTTGAGCATAGTCTCCCTCCCGAGATTCATCTCGGCCAAGGTCGAGCATAACCTCCCTCCCGAGATTCATCTCGGCCAAGGTCGAGCATAACCTCCCTCCCGAGATTCCTCTCGGCCAAGGTTGAGCATAGTCTCCCTCCCGAGATTCATCTCGGCCAAGGTCGAGCATAACCTCCCTCCCGAGATTCATCTCGGCCAAGGTCGAGCATAACCTCCCTCCCGAGATTCCTCTCGGCCAAGGTTGAGCATAGTCTCCCTCCCGAGATTCATCTCGGCCAAAGTCGAGCATAACCTCCCTCCCGAGATTTCTCTCGGCCAAGGTTGAGCATAATCTCCCTCCCGAGATCTCTCTCGGCCAAGGTTGAATATAATGTTTGCTTCCCGAGATTCCTCTCGGCCAAAGTTGAACGACAAGTCTCCCTCCCGAGAACCCTCTCGGCCAAGGTAGAGCGTAGCCTCCTTCCCGAAGATCGCTCGGTCGAAATGGAACAACTTGCATTGAAGTTCCCTCTACCTGGGATCCCAATGGCCGAAGCCTTTTCTCCCGAGATACACTAACAACCAAAGTTTAATTAGTGAGTTCTTGACCGACTAACCCACGACAGAAATTCACTTACATGACCTAAGACATTCCCGGTCATCCCTCTCGGCCAAAAAAGAAAAACGTCTTAGACGATCCTAAGACCTACAAACAAGAGAAGCTGCATACAAAGGTGCGCAACAGAAAGTAAAACAGTCCGAATAGGGGGCATAACAATTCATTAAGACTCAAGGTCAACGCGGCACTATCGGCCGAAGGGTACAAGCAAGGATGGCTCTAACGGCCCAAAAGGAATCAAGCAAAAAATAATATACCCTAAATTTGTACATCTTAAACAAAACAGATGCATCCTCAAAAAACAAAAAGTCGCGCCATCCCTCAATCGGCATTGCCGGTCTGCTCGGTCTCTTCGTCGTCATCGTTGAAGGTGGTGCCGGGGTCTTCAGGGGCCGCTAAGCGAGGAGGAGCGGCTTGATCAGGTTCGGCATCGGGGTCGGCTTCAGCATAGTCCATGTACACCCCCTGGAAAAAGTCCTTGCTAAGCGCGAAGGAGAACTCGGGAGGAAAAGTGCCGAAATGATTGGCTTGCCGAACGGCATGCCAAAATCCTTCCTCGTGCTCCTTCACAATCTTGCCTTCGCATTCAGCCCGGAAGGTTGCCATCGCCGCGTCACCTTCGGCCTTCGCCCTTTCCACTTCAGCCTGGAGATCCTTCACCTCCTCAACCCGCATCCGCTCGGCATCTTCCGCCGCCTGAACTCGACCTTCCATCCCTTCATAGGCCTCCTTCCAGTGGGCCACCTCGGCCTCCAACGCCGCTTTCTCCCCAGCTAAAGCCTCTTGCACCGAGAGGGATTGTTGCAGAGCTGATTTAGTGTCCTCCAGGCTCTTCTGGAGATTATGCATGTCCCCCATCGGTTCCAAGGCCATCTTCCGAAATATGGCAGTGGCCCTCATGTGCAGCTCACATGCCATCGCCCATCGAGCCGAAGGAGTGGCCGCATCGAGCATAACATGCCCTTGGGCCGATAACAGATCAGAAGACATCATTCGGGCCGGCCTGATCTCCTCCGATAAAAAGTCCTTGGCGACGATGGCCGAAGGTACGGCCAAATCCGTCGAAGAACCCTCCACTCTTCGTTGCTTGGGCCGAGAGGTTTCCATACCCTCAGCATCGGCCCTCCTTTTCCCCTTGTCTTTTCTCTTCCTGACCTTAGGATCGGGAAGGGCAATAACAGGTGGCGTGGGCCGAGCAGCATCCGTGGTTTGAGGTTGCCGATCAATGGCAACGCTTCGATGATCTTCGGCGGAAGTCCCGGCAGGGGCTTTGCTCCTCATCAATTGCCGGTACGACAGTCCCAAACCTTGTTGCGCCATCCAGCCTGCAAAAATCAAACAGTCACACATCAACCTAACAAGAACGACCAATCAGAAATATAAAAACATACCCTCTAAATCAAAACGAGGCCGAGACGACTTGGGCAGCAGCACTAAAAACCGAGAGGGGATACACTTCGGCAGTCCTTTCAGGATATCTAAAGCCGACAACTCGGCTTCGGTCATCATGTCCTCCGGAAAATCATCGTATTTCCGAGGCTGCCGAGTCCAATAAAAAGGGAAAAGGGGTTTCTGCTCGGCATCATAAAAGTAATTTCGGCCGGCAACGGGGTCAATAATCACCTTCACAAACCCCGACTTGAACCCCTTGAAAGACGACGTGAAGGGTGTTAGCAACGGTCGGTCGGCGTTCCGAACCAAAGAAAGCCACTTAACAGTCTTATTCGAAGGACGAGTACAGAAAAAATGTAAAAATAAACCTACGGACGGCTCTATGTAGTGGTATTTACAAAGCACCCGGAACGCTTGCATATAAGCCCATGCGTTCGGGTGCAACTGCGTCGGGGCCACATTCAACACACGAAGGACCCCCATCTGAAAATCGTCGAAGGGGAGCGACATCCCGAGCTCTCGGAAGAAACACTCGTACATGTAGAAAAAATCTCCGGTTCCTTCCCGCTTCGCAAGAAAAACCAGATCAAGCTCCCCAGGGCCTTCGGCCCGGCATCGACGCAGCAGAATAGGATAAGGATCCCAACCTTCCCATCGGCCTAACGTGCAACGACCGAGAAGACGTATCACGGCAGCCCTCTCATGAAAACGAGAGAAGTACGCCGCCACCTCACCATCGACCCAATCATACCCAGGGATTTCACACGGAGGGAACTTCTGCCTATAATCCCCGGGGCTCATCTCGGCATCAGGCAAATCCGACCCGGATGAAGAACTAGACCCACCATCACGCTCAGGGCCCGACCCGGCATGACCCACAATCATATCCACCTCGGCGTTAAAGGCCAACATCTCGGCCTCGACATCTTGCGCCGACACCCTATCACTAGCCGACGACCCTGACGATAATGTCACACCTTCGGTGGCCATTATCAACCAAAAAAAAAAATCTAAAAACACAAAAAACGAACCTTTAGGAGTACTCGGCTCACACGAAAAGATATTGAGGAAGTATAACTACAAACAAGGCATGAGGAAGTGAGTCCCACCCCCATACCTTATATAGACCACGCGAAGCAACCCAAGGGGCTCGTAATAAATGCGCCTGAACGCGAAGAGACATAACGCAAGGGCGCGAAACCCAAAGACGGCTCTGGCATGCAACGGTCACTATCCACACACCTCCCGAAGTACACGTCTCCCCAAAATCAAAACCCTGAAATAACCCGGAACCATTTAACCACATCAAACCCCTACGTCTTTTATCCTGGGGCTTGGGGGGGTAGTGTACTAGGAGGCACCCCTTCGGTCAGGCAATAGGCCGAAAGGGGTGCCCGAGCCGACGAAAACACACCACCCCTTCAGCTGGAGGACGGGCCGAACACACCTTCTCGGCCAAAGGAGGTACCCCATGACTCCTTTACCACTAGAAACCCATCAAAACCTCCCGGTATTGAGCTGGGCCGAACACCTCCTCGGCCTTGACATGAGCCGAACACCTCTTCGGCCTTGGAGAAGACCGAACACCCTTTCGGCCTCATACCTAGCCAAGGACTTCAACAAATCAAACAAACACTGCCATCAAGGACGAGTCAAACACCTCCTCGGCCTTGACCTGGGCCGAACACCTCCTCGGTCTTGACCTAGGCCGAACACCTCCTCGGTCTTGACCTAGGCCGAACACCTCCTCGGCATTGACCTAGGCCGAACACCTTCTCGGCATTGACCTAGGCCGAACACCCTTTCGGCCTCGGGGGAGGCCGAACACCCTTTCGGCCTTACGCCTAGCCGAGGACTTCGACAAAGAGCAGATCACAAACAACACGTGGCAAGTTAGATACTTATTATGCGCTAATTACCATGCCAGATTAAGAGGAGATTAAGGCTAACTCAAGTGTTACCCATCTCCCAAGACTGAAGGCCCACCAGGCCCAATTGTGTCACTATAAATACACAGGTGATGTGACATGAAAAGGTACGTTATTGTCCAATATAAAAGCACTTATTGCTCTATACCGAATACTCACTTGAGCGTTAGAGTGCCTTTGCAGGTACCCTCCCGACCCCGCGGAGATAGTATTTGGTCGGCACCGAAGACTTAGAAGATCAAGAAGGAAGAACGACAAGAGGAGTGTTTCTACGCAGGAACATAATGTATTTATTTATAGAAATTCAAATTGTTAGTATAGTATGTGATGTGTAGTATTGTTATTTAGCATTTCTGTCCAATACTTGATTCCACCCTATGCTGGGATCTATTAAACAACATTATCATGTTAGAACTTCGAATCCTAGAGAGGCAATTTGAATATCAAAACATTGGGCAGCGATTTGACTTGACTTTGCCGCGAAATTGAAAGGAAATTTCCATGCAGCTATAATTTAAGAGAGAGAGAGAGGAAGAGAGAGAGAGATAGAGAGAGAGAGAGGTGTTGTTTAATGCTTATGTTAACTAGTTGTTTTATATATA